CCCCCTGAAAAAACCCCAAGAAAAACATCAATAGCTTTCAAGTTTGCAGCCTAACATTTCTCCTCGAAGGTTCTACACCAGCCTACCTTTGAGTTTTTTCATATAAAGCCTTCTTGTTGGCTTGTTGAGATACCCGTGACAAAATCTGTGTGTGTCAGTGTGGGTTCCTCAGTCTCTGACTGGGACATAGCCTCGGTACATGACACTGTAGTGCTCATTTATGTACATCACTATTAGCGGATCTGTAACTACGGGATAATTTCTCTGTTCCAACATTAGCAATACCACCATAGATATTGGACTCAATCAGGTGTATTTAATTAAGAGTGTGTTCTTCTATTCAGCAACTTATATGCCTCACCTTGACTGAATATACAAACAATTGTTATTTCATGTACTTTGTATTTTCCTGAATGACATCTATATTAATATAAGAACAGGCTTTTTCAAAATGTTTGTCCGTTCTTTGCCTTCATAAGTGCCTGGCTTACACACATGTATGATCTTCAAGAATCTTTGAGCTGTCCAGTCAGGACATATTTAGGGCCATTTTTTGTTACTGCATGAACATATATATTATTATATTATTATATTATTATTATGTTTATTTGATGAGATTTTTGCATGCTTAAATGACGTGTTAGTCCAAAGCTCGAGGCCATTGTTTGACCTGTGTTTAGTTGTAGGCCTACAAAGGTGGCCAGAAGGGGTAGACTTTGTTGTGGAAGGACGTCAAACCTCAACTCACCGACTCCAGTTTCTTCTACAGCTGACGAGATCTTATTGATACATTGCAGTTGTCAAGATCCATTCAGCAGGTTAGCTGGAGGATATTGGTTAGCTGGATGATATTGGTTAGCTGGATGATGATATTGGTTAGCTGGATGATAGTGGCAAAAGGCAGTTTGAAGAGTTTAAATCTTAATGTTCTCAGTATTGGAGTGTGCTCATTTCTTGCATGGCCAATGTTTTCCATGTGTTTCTGTTGTTGTTAGCGATCCAGTCCATGTGTTTCTCACATTTCACGTTTTTTTTTACCTGTTTTCAATTTATTACAGATTCCAGCAGTTGGTATTTGATGGTTTTTTAAAAAGAAAAATTCCCTCTTTTTAGTTCCTACTTGAAATATTGATGATCATGATTGATAAGTGAATTTATTGGGTACATATTCCCCACTCCACACCATGCTCTATGCACTGTACAGCTTTTATCCAGAACACCGTAGAACATGACTCAGAAACGTTCTCTGCTTCCCAGGAAGCATAGGCCTACAGTGCTAGCAGCAGATGCAATTTTTACTAACAATTAACGAACTGACAAGATCTTTTGCCGTCTCTATGTATTGCAAAGTGATCAACTTGAAATCTTCTCCCATTGTCATCTCTAACAACTCGAATGATTTCTTTTTGTTGTTGTTGCTGAGGCAGCTGTGTTTGTGCATGGTTGTCTGGCCCTATCTTTGTCAAAATCTGGTTGTCTGGCCCGATCTGGTTGTCTGGCCCTATCTTTGTCAAAATCTGGTTGTCTGGCCCTATCTTTGTCAAAATCTGGTTGTCTGGCCCTATCTTTGTCAAAATCTGTGAATGCACGGGCCTGCTGCAATGGAGCATATATATGGTGCAGTCAATCTTACTTGCTAATCCCTTGTACAGTTCAGTATTGCATATTTGAATGTTGGAAAGATAGCCAAAGCTGTGGATTTGATTGGTTGATTGGTTTCACAAAAATCCTGAGAGTTAGTTTCTCTGCTGTTGTTATGTAGTTCTTAGTTGATCTTGAGTATGTCCCAAAGATCACGAAGATCCATAGGTTAGTTTCTCTGCTGTTATTTAGATCTAGTTCTTAGTTTACCTTGAGTAAGTCCCAAAGGTGTGAAATCCTGTCGTTGTAATTCCAGTCCAGTGATGAAGTATCCAGGAAAGAAAACAAAATTGTTGTTTGTTGCTGCTTGCTCTCAGTGAGTGACTCGTCCATTGTTTCCTCACAGCTTACTTTGGTCTTTACTTCTAGCTCACACAAATGTACCTCCCATTTTCTTATCCTTGCTCAATTTACTGTGGCCTTTCAACAGTTTCTTTTTTTGGAAAATATTGTTTTAAGCTGAATGGGAAATATAGATCTAGCGCTTTTGATGAATTTTGAATTTCAGGCATCAATGTAATTTTCTCGTTTGTCATGGATAAACTTTGTAGTTGGATGCAACTCTTAACATATAATGGTATTCTTGATGGTAAATACCTCTAAAGTGAGAAAACAAATAAAAGGAATATCATTATTGAGTAGAATAATGGTCCTGATCAACTGGAACTGAAACAGAAGGGAGAAAACCTGAGAGTTGCATCGTCAGCTTTTTGACTGCTCGTGTAAGTTGTAAGTCTCCGTCAGACCACAGACTGTGTAGCGGAGAATCTTTGGTCAGACCATAGACCGTGTAGGTCAAACCAATGACCGTGTAAAGGAGAATCTTTGGTCAGACCACAGACCGTGTAGCGGAGAATCTTTGGTCAGACCATAGACTGTGTAGCGGAGAATCTTTGGTCAGACGCCCCTTTCCAAAAGGCCTATGGCAGAGTTGTGCTCTAACCAGTCGATTTGCTGTGTGTTAGGTGGCAGGTTTAAGAACAGTGTCATTTTCCTCCCCTTCCACTCCATGGAAGTATTTAGAAGTTGTGTTGTTATTTCAAAGTTCGTTTTGATCTGAGCAGTCAAAAAACTAATTTGAACTCAGCAAAAAGCAAACACAACAAGCAGTGTCTCCTTGTTTTGTGTGTGCGATGATGTCTCCTTGTTTTGTGTGTGTGATGATGCAGCACATAACCTGGGAGTCGTTGAAGCCATATGTAGAAAAACAGTGGAGTCTACACACCATCCCTGTTATATCAGGTTTCCACTGTACAGTGGAGTCTGCACAAAACGAACGTGGTCAACCCCTGATTTTTTTGCTTTTCTTTGAGCAAAGAATCAAAAATGTGGCGACACCAAGGTTTGTATTTGTATGCAAAAATGTAATGATGTTATGAACTTGAAAGAACAGTATTATGTTTTAATTATTTTGTGAGTTGCCGTGAGCTTCCTGTGTGAGTCAGGACAAACTGTTGTGCAAGTTGTCAGATTTGCTTTCCTGGTTCTATGAAGCTTTTCTCCTCTTTTTTACATTTTTATAACATGTGTATATATTTTTGTATATTTGACTGCTGAAAACTGTAGCAAGATGATTGGTCACCGCGTATTGTGTTCTGGGCAAGGTGTAGTAGGCTACATGTGTAGTTTAACGAAACACACCCACCTCTTCTGGCTATCCAACTTGCACTGACTGGTGACAAATTTTTTTCACCTCGACTGCGACTCACCACACCCACGAGTTCTGTCTTCCCCACTCCGTGGCTCACGCCCCGCCCTGCCCTTGTTCTCGTCTTCAGTGTCAAATAGGTACTTGACTACTTTCCCGAAATAACCCAACTGACCACAGAGGATGTTTGCCACTGAGGCTAGAAGAGGTGGCACCTCCTCGAGTGTTTTCTGAGCTCTCTGAAACACTCCTTTATTGTGTCAGCACCGACGACACCAGCTCTCTGAAACACTCCTTTATTGTGTCAGCACTGACACCAGCTCTCTGAAACACTCCTTTATTGTGTCAGCACTGACACCAGCTCTCTGAAACACTCCTTTATTGTGTCAGCACTGACACCAGCTCTCTGAAACACTCCTTTATTGTGTCAGCACTGACGACACCAGCTCTCTGAAACACTCCTTTATTGTGTCAGCACTGACGACACCAGCTCTCTGAAACACTCCTTTATTGTGTCAGCACTGACACCAGCTCTCTGAAACACTCCTTTATTGTGTCAGCACCGACGACACCAGCTCTCTCAAACAGTCCTTTATTATGTCAGCACTGACACCAGCTCTCTGAAACACTCCTTTATTGTGTCAGCACTGACACCAGCTGTCTTCTTGCTCTTATTTTGGCACATGCGGTTCTTGATTCTGTCTTTGTGCTGTGTCAGAAATCCCTGCCCCAGTCTTCTTCCGGGAGATTGTCCTGGAAGTTCCCGAAGTCTTTGTCCAAAATACGTTTCACTTCACCGCCATACGCTGGTAGGCGTAGAATACGCTTATTGGTAGGCGTAGATCTACACACACTTTTCTTGCCATACCTAGAATGGAGCTAAACAAATCTATTGTGACCACTCAGGAAAATTCCCCCCCCCCCCCCACATTTGATTTGAAATAACTGTTAGTCTAGTAAAATGAATGAAAGTAGGCTGCTACCTAGTCAAAAACTGCATGTATGTAGAATATGTTTGACATTATTTATTGTGACTCGAATCCCACTAATCACTTAGCCTCAGTGGCGACCTTTTCTGGAGCAGAGAAATATTTCTAATGCACGCTGTCTAGATGTCGGGAAATGTTTCTTTCTATGTCGGGAAATGTTTCTGTCTATGTCGGGGAATGTTTCTGTCAATGTCGGGAAATGTTTCTGTCTATGTCGGGAAATGTTTCTGTCTATGTCGGGGAATGTTTCTGTCTATGTCGGGAAATGTTTCTGACACACGTTGTGTAGATGTCGGCCTGAAGTGCATGACAAGATCACCACCCACACTCTGCCCCAGCTCCGCTGATTCTGTGTTTTGATTTGACATTTCTTCCTTTTGTGAAATTTAGTTATAGACTCATTTCTAGTCATTGCTGTGCATTCCTTTCTATAAATCTATTGTTTTGGGGAATTTATAGTAGGCCTACATACAGGT